AAAAAAATAAACAGGTTAAAAAGGAAAACTATGTATTAAACCATTAGTTTGTGTCCAGAGGTGTACTGTGATACTTTACTTAAATAAGTACATTATTACTGAGGTCCATCTTTATAAACACGTGTCCATCTTAAGTTGCAAGTAACTGTCAATGGCTCTATACGCAATTTACCTCTTGCTATGTGACTTTTCTTGTCTTGCATCCACCAACAACCGGCAAACTTGAAATAAACTACACTGCACACAATGTATTGTACAACAAACCCGTCAGTCTCCGTCTCACATCAGGAGTCATTCTAGCTGTTCATCTGTGTTTTTATAGATTTGTGTATATCTGGGACACCACATCACGTAGGATCCTGTACAAGCTGCCGGGCCACGCTGGCTCTGTCAACGAAGTGGCCTTTCACCCAGAGGAGCCTATAGGTGAGTCTGAAATACATGTTAGAAGGATGGGGTAGAGATATTTGAAGACTTGGGAACAGGTTAGCTTTTTGTTTTAAAGATCCAGTGAAGATGCCACTAAATCCTACACACTGGTCCTTTTTAAAGACTATATTTATAACAGTTGCCTCCCTTTCCTGTCCTATATCCATCCCTAACCCTCACCCACCCCCTACCACAGAAATCTTTACATAAATGTGTAAATAAACATGGCTACAGGTAGAAAAATGATAGAGACAGGCTAGGTCGGTTAACCCTTGCAGTAAGGAAGATAACAACATATGTTCTAAGTAAGTGTCCCAAACTTTTTATAGAAAGCGTCTGCTTTTTAAGCTTGAAGGACGTGAGTTAATGGGGGATTTTCATATTCATATCGTTTTTGTAGTTTATTTTCTGTCTGTTAGATTTAATTTGACATTAATGGTTCGTACACCTGAGGCTTAGGACTAACAATAGGAGTTTAATCATCTTTTTCTCTTTGTTCCTCCACATAGTGCTGTCTGGCTCCAGTGATAAACGGCTCTACATGGGAGAAATTCAGTAGAGTGTGTGTGTACGCGTGTCAGCCTGGATGAGTGAGTGAGTGAGTGAG